TTTTTTTTTTTTGGTACCAGGGATTGAACTCCAAACCTTGTGCTTTCGAGGCAGGAGGGGGAACCACTGAGCTAAATCCCCGGCCCTGTTTTCTCTTGTTTTGAAATCTTAACAGTGTTCTCCTTGGCTTTGCTAGGCTCTGTATGTGGCAAATTTTGCAAAAGTTCAAGAAAAAACCCAAATCCTCAATGAAGAATGGAAGCAACGCCGTGTCCAGCCTGTGCAGTCGATGAAGCCTGTGAGCGGACACCCTTTCCTCAAAAAGGTACTTCCGGGGCACAGCCCCCACCTCTGTCCTGGGTGGGGAGGAAGCCAGTAGCTTACTGAGTATGCTTTTCCCCTCTGTTCTCAGTGTGATTGTGCCTGTCATAGAAAATCATGACATTTATGATTCTCTTCCCTGGGCTTTGTGTATAAGCTCCAAAGCAACCACTTTTGGCCCTTGTTTGACTCCCTAAATACTTTTCTTTTGAGTCAAGGTCTTACTGTGTAGTTCAGGCTAGCCTTGAATTCATGATGATCCTCCTGCCTCAGCCTCCCAAGTGCAAGTGCTGGGATAACAGATGTGTACCATCACACCTGGCTTCTTAAGTACTTTAATATGGAAAAGGACTGCCTAGGTTAATGGACAAGAGTATTTGACCAGAGAGGCCTTCCTTACTGTGTATTCATTTTTAAAACTGAATTGTAATTTTTTTTTTTTTTTTTTGCAATTTTTGGCGACTGAACCCAAGGCCTTCACACTAAGCTACATCCCAACCCTTTTTTGTTTTTTGTTTTTTGTTTTTGGTACTAGGTATCAAACTCAGGTCCTTGCACTTGCGCAGCAGGCAGCGAAACCACTGAGCTAAATCCCCGGCTCCCAACCCTTCTTTATTTTTTATTTTTTTATTTTGAGACAGGGTTTTGCTAGGTTGCTCAGGCTGGGATTGAATTTTAGATCCTCCTGCCTCAGCCTCCCAGAATCCGGGATTACAGGCACGTACCACCATACCCGGGTTGAATTGTAAATTTAAAAAGAACATTCTAGTCTCTTTAAAGAGATCTTTTTGTTTTTTTTTTGGTACCAAGGATCGAGCTCAGGTCCTTGAGCTTGCGCAGCAGGCGGTGAAACCACGGAGCTAAATCCCTGGCCAAGAGATCATTTTTTAAAAATAGAAAACATAGGGTAATGAGGGCACCTGCCTTTCCCAAAGCAGGATGGGGCTTCTATTCCATGATGCTTCCCCTTGGAATGCCCCCATCCCCTGTGAAGCCAGGTTGAAGTCCCTGGTCTGAAGGTCGTTGGGACAGGGCTGGGAGAGGCATCAGTGTCCCTGGGCATGGGGGGGTGGGGGTAGGGCAGAGGGTGTGGGCCGCACTGGCAGGGCGCTGACATTCTCCTCCCCCTGCCCCTCGGCTGCAGTGCACCATTGAGAGCCTCTTCCCAGGCTTCGCCAGCCAGCACATGCTGATGTGCTCCCTGAACACTGTGGCGCTGGTGCCCATCATGTACTCCTGGTCGCCACTGCAGCAGAACTTCATGGTGCGTACAGCACACGGGCATCGTGCAGGCCATGTGATCAGCACAGGGCATGGGGCTTCTGGGGCAGAGGTGGTTGGAGGACTTAGCTGAGTGCAGACACAGCGAGGGGCGTGACCATTGGCCGCTGCTCAAGTTTGGCGACTCCAGTGCTCTCTGGTGGGCCAATGTTGGTTCTATTGGGAGTGAATTAGATGGGGCGGGACTCAGTTTCCCCCTGCTCCCTGGCCCCAGGTGGAGCACTGTGTGCAGGTGGGTGTAGTCCCAGTCAGGCGCTGGAAGGTCATTGGCCCCCTGCTGGGTCATTCACTGTGGGCCTCAGCCCTGTCCATCCCGCTGTCTCCTGTCACCTGTGTGGCAAAAGAGCAGCTCCCCAAGGTGGATCTGGATCTGCAGAAGGAAGTCCTGCCTAGCACACAACTTCAGAGCGGTTCCACCTACCGCCACTGGGGCTTAAGAATGAGGTGTCGGCCTGGGCCGGAGCTGTGCAGTGAAGCGTGTGCTTGGTGGGTCTGAGGCCCTGGGGAGGGAAGGAAAAAGGGAAAGAGAAGAACGAGGAGTCAGTGTCTGTGCTCTATCGCATGCCCTCCCCGCTTCAGCGCTTACTGCCAAGAAAGTGTCTGTAGCCCTCAGAGCAGATGCCGGTCCCGCCTCGAGCCTAGGCTGAGTTGAGGTCCTCACTGTTGGTTACTGGGGAGTCGCTCTTTTTCAGAGACCGCCCCAGACCTCGTGGACACAGAGTTTCTTTTCTCACTCTGTTAAAGTCACCCCTGGGAGGGCTTCCTTCTCACCCATGTCTCCCGGCTGGAAAGTGGAATGTTTGTGCCTGTTTTACCAGGATGCTTAGTGGGTAGGATGAGGAGATGGGGTACGGCAGAGGCACAGGTGCTGTCAGGTGGCCACGTCACTGGGAGTAAGGTGGGCACCTACACTGACTCCTCCCCAGCCCAGCAAGAGCAGTGGTCGGCCCCTTCCACTTGAGGTTTTGTTGGCAAAACAAAAGGACCAGTTCTTAAAATCCAGGGAACTCTGCTTCCAAGGGACCTGCAGGGGACTCGGAAGCAGGAAGGGCTCAGCAGAGGGCTGTTGGGCCCGGAGAGCCAGGACAGCGGCTCGAAGGGTGACTCGGTGCGGCCTGGTTTCAGGTGGAAGATGAGACAGTTCTGTGCAATATTCCCTACATGGGGGATGAGGTGAAGGAAGAAGATGAGACGTTCATCGAGGAGCTGATCAACAACTATGACGGCAAAGTCCACGGCGAGGAAGGTGGGCACGGCCTCGGCCCCGGGCACCAAGAACCTTTGCAGTGGGCAGCCCCAGCTTCAAGTTAGAAGCATCCCCGTGGGCCAAGGATTTAGCTCAGTGGTGCTGCACCTGCCTCACAAGTGCAAGGCCCTGAGTTCGATCCCCGGTACCAAAAAAAAAAAAGCATCCCTGTGACACTGGAGAAGGAGCTGGGCACAGAGCTTGGTCAAAATCAGTAGCTGAGAGGAGTTTCACCTGGGAGAGCCCTGCATCCATCTCACCACGTGGTCCATTCTCCCTGGGAAACAGGAAGCGGCTGCTCCCAGCCAGGAGCCCTCCAGCTGCCAGAAGTGGGCATCAGTAGCCTCATCTCCTAAAGGGCAGCCATGTGGACTTCCTCGGAGTTCTAGAAAAGGTTGTCACTGAGAGAGACAGGAAGGGAACGAGAACCCCAGGATCTGCATGCAAACCCTTTCTCCACAGCGCCCCCTAGTGCTCAGATGCTCCCAAACCGTGGTACAACCCTGTGGAGCATGACTAGGAAAAAATGCTGTATCTTGCAGGGTGTGGTGGTGCAGGTTTGTATTCCCAGCACTTGGGAGGCTGAGACAGGAGGATCATCACGAGTTTGAGGCCAGCCTGGGCTACATAGTGAGACTTTCAACAACCAAAAAGCAAAACAAAAGCTGTATTTTGAATTAGAGAAGTCACTGTCGATCCAGCAGCAGCAAACCTAAGTAGATGTTCATTTATTATTCATTTTCTGCTGTGCTTTCAATGGCTGGCACATGATTCTGAGATTTGGGACCATAAACCTGGGGTTGACCTGTGGCTGAGGAAGTGAAATATCCCAGTAAGAGTGAGGCCGGTGGCCGATTTCCTGCCCAGCCCGCTGAACTGGGGGCTGCAGTCCCAAGGGCACAGGAATGTGTCCCGCTGCACAGGCCCGAGGGGCGAGCCCTGCTCAGCCCTCCTCCTGCTCGGTTTCAGACATGATTCCCGGCTCAGTCCTCATCAGCGACGCTGTGTTCCTGGAGCTGGTAGATGCCCTGAATCGGCACTCAGATGAGGAGGAGGAAGGCCACAACGACGCCGCCGACGGAAAGCAGGGTGACAGCCAGGAGGACCTGCCTGTGACCCGGAAGAGAAAGCGCCATGCTGTGGAGGGTGTGCAGCCCCTCCCAGAGGCCCTGGGTTTCTGTTTGTTTTTTGGTATCGGGGATCGAACTCGGGACCTTGCACTTGCGAGGCAGGTGCTGGAACCACTGAGCTAAATCCCTGGCCCATCCAGGTCTCTCTTTGAAAGCTCCTTTCTCCTCCAGATTCCAGCAGGGCCTGTGGATTTGTCAGTGTGTGGTCAGTGGTTAGGCTGAGGAAGCAGCTGTCATTAAAAGTGCCGTGGGGAGCTAGACATGGCAGCACAGCCTGTACTCCCAGCACTCGAGAGGCTGAGGCAGGAGGATCAAAAGTTCAGGCCCAGCCTGGGCAACTTAGTGATTTAGTGAAATCCTGTCTCAAAAATTTATGAAAGGGCTGGGATGCAGCTCAGTGTGAAAGCCCTGGGTTCAAACCCCAGTGCTAGGGGAAAAAAAGACAAATCGCTATGACAAAGAAAAAAGATGAGACAGCTTTGTTCCCGGCCCATAGCACTCAGAAGGGTCTGTTTTCTAATCATTTCCCATTCAGGCAACAAAAAGAGTTCCAAGAAACAGTTCCCCAATGACATGATCTTCAGTGCCATCGCCTCAATGTTCCCCGAGAGCGGTGTCCCGGATGACATGAAGGAGAGGTGGGGAACGTGTGCTGTCGCCACCGCACTTCCCTTTGAGGCCTGTGCCCCAGGGCGGGTCCCCAGCATCTGGCAGGAAGTGCTCACCCCGCCAGCAGCACACTTGTGGCTGCTCCCACCCCTTCCGTTCCTAAAGCCCTGGCCCGGCCCTCCCTCCTGCTGTCCGCACTGATCCCAGCCTGAAGCAGTGCTTCCCCGCCTTCTCTCCTGCAGGTACCGGGAGCTGACGGAGATGTCGGACCCCAATGCTCTCCCCCCGCAGTGCACACCCAACATCGACGGCCCCGACGCCAAGTCCGTGCAGCGCGAACAGTCCCTGCACTCCTTCCACACGCTCTTCTGCCGCCGCTGCTTCAAGTACGACTGCTTCCTGCACCGTGAGTGGCTGCTCCAGGACGGGTGCCCTTCTTCTGCCCGCCACCCCTGCCCTGTCTGCCTGGTTGTCCCTGGCACCTCCTGGCATGGAGAGGATATGTCGGGATGGCTAGGTTGCGTGGGCCCTGCAGTAGCTCCCTGACACGGGGCTGTCGCTCTGTCTTGCCCCATGATAGACCCTGCACACACTGCAGTTCTTCTCTTGCAGCTTTTCATGCCACCCCCAACGTGTATAAACGGAAGAACAAAGAAATCAAGATCGAACCAGAACCCTGTGGCTCCGACTGCTTTCTTCTGCTGGTAGGTCCTTCAGCTGCTCCGGCTTTGATAACTGCTTAAAACTCAGCAGGAACAGGAAGTGGCCCTTGAGCTTCCTGCGCTGGGAATGGGTGAGCCAGGTGAGTGGGACCCAGCCTCGGGGCTCCCGCTCTGCTGCTCCTTGACTCGGGCATACCGTGAGGCCAGTTTGACCTGCTGCCAATGTTGGCAATGAGATTTGATCATCAGCTGAGACATTCAGTCTGAAACTGTATTGCTGGGCTTGGAACAGATCAGGCTAGGGATGTGGGCCAGTGGAAGAGCACCTGCCTAGCACAATCAAGGCCCCAGGTTCGAGCCCCAGCTCTGCCAGAAAAGAAAGAAGTGGAGCAGAACGTGTGGTGTTGGCCTTGTGCACCCCGTGTCTTCTGCCTTCTTTTAACGCACGTGATATAGAGGCAGGACAGAGAGCCCTGACGTCTCACTGTGATTAGCCACATGGACTGCTGTGGGCCCAGCCTCCCTGTCCGTGTGGACTGTCCTCAGGCCTGCAGGGCCCCTTGCGGCTTCCTACATGGTGTGTTGAGCTTAGGTTGAGAATAAAACACTTTGATAACATTTCTCTTGTCAACTAGATTATATAGCGCAGTTCCTTTGGGCTGTATTTTTAGCAGGATAACAGAAGGAAAGGTGGTAGAGCATGCTGTGTGCTATGCATCTGGAAAATGGACCATGTAGTTACAGCAGGAGAATAAATAGAATAAATCAACTTTATCCAATTGATTTTTCCCTAACGTGGTGATTCCTGCTGTGTGTCAAGGCCCTGAGCATGTACTGTCTCATTTTCACCTTTGAATGATTCCCTGGGTAGAAACCGTGGGCTTATAAAAGTCACGTGTGTGCCGGAGTTTGTTAAGAGTCCATGGCAGCCGAGCGCCGTGACCCACACTGGCATCCCAGCACACGGAGATGGAGGCTGAGGTAGGATCGCAGCTGGCTGGGCAGCTTCGTGGGAGACCCTGTCTCAGAGTGACAGATACAGGGCTGGGCGTGAGGCTTGGGGCAGAGCACCTGCGCTCGATCCGCCGTACACAGGAAGAGAAGCGCCTGGTGCTAGGCTCAGGCCCTGCCCGGCCCCACGCACGGCCTGCTTGGACTTTGTGAGGCCGCAGCACATCAGTGCGTTGGCATCAGCGTGGGGTCAAAGGCATTGTCACAGCCCTGAATGCGGTGTGAGGCGTGCATCACACAGATACTGCCCATGCCCAGCGTGTGTGCATTCACCTCACAGGGTCTGTGCATGTGGTGTCTCCTTGGTTGTGTCTAACATGAGCACACTAACAGACACCACTCTTCCTGTCTCCCTGGCCTGGCTCTTTTGTAAAGACGACGTCTTTGATGATAACAGGGTGACAAAGCTAGGCCTCAAAACATTGGCCGAGAGCTCAGAGTTGTTCCTGTCCACAGAAGCCTTTCATAAAAGGCCAAGATCTCTGTGATCTGAAGAGAAACCAGTGTCCCTGGGTTGCTAAGAACCTGCTCTTCATGGCACTGGGGATGGAACCCAGGGCCTTTGCACTGAGCCACATTAGGCCAGGCCCCCTAAGGGTCGAGAAGTCCCTAAATTGCCCAAGCTGGGCTCGAACTTGTGAGCCTCCTGCCTCTTACAAGTGTGCACCACAGTACCCAGGTTTGTTTGGTTTTTTTGGTACTAGGGATCAAACTATAGGGACTTTGTGCTTGCAAGGCAGGTGCCGGAACCACTGAGCTAAATCCCTGCCCCTACCCAGGTTTTTAATCTCAAATGAGTCCACTACTTTTTTCTTCTTTTCCATGGTTCCAGGATGGTTGTCCTGTAGGATAGTCCACATTTTCAAATTTTGTTTCGTTTTTTGAGACAGGGTTTTGCGATGTGGTTCAGCCTGGCCTTTAACTCACTACATAGCCCAGGCAGGCCTGAAACAACCAGCCATCCTCCTGCCTCAGCCTCCCAAGTGCTAGGGTGACAGGTGTGCACCACTACACCTGGCCACGTTCTAGATTTGTGTTTGTTTTCTTCAGGGTATTCCCTGTTTCCCATATCTAGAAATTAGCTCTCGAGGCTTGATTTTTATCTGTGGAAAACATTTTACTCAGGGATACTTGAGGTTCTGTGTTTCCTGCTGGAGCAGAGACCCATGCTGTTAGATCCGGTTGGCTTCAGAGCTCCTCTTCCTTGGGCCCTAACGCCCACAGTGATGGGGAGCCCTTATCCCTGCAGGTGGCTCAGTTTTCAGAAACAGGAGTTGGTGGGAACCGCACCAGCGAGGGGCTTAGGGATCAAGCTGTTTGTCCATAATCAAGGTGCAGCTGCTGAGCTTTGGGACCATGTTCTTCCGAGTTCATGCGCAGACTCTGGGAAGCTTCGGAGGAAGTAGCAGTGCAGAGACCGGGGGTCACACCTTTACCGCGGAAATAAAGGCCTTGTGGGGGAATGTGAAGAGCAGCCGCCCAAGCCCATAGCCCAGCACCCTGGGAGGCTGGCCCAGGGAGATTACAAGTTCAAGCCCAGCCTGGGTGATTTAAAAACTTAGCAAGACCCTTTAAAGAGTTTGTTGTAGGGCCGGGGATTGAGCTCAGTGGTGCCGCGCCTGCCTCACAAGTGCAAGGTCCAGAGTTCGATCCCCGGTATCAAAACCAGTTTGTTTTACAGCAGTGAGGCTGCAGCTTTCTCTTTGCTGCAGCAGCGGGACAGGAGCCCTGGCAGGGCATTTGGGAAGTTTCTCCCGCTGTTTGAGGAGCATTGATTGAAAGGAGCACAGCTGAAACTGTTACCAAAGGAGGCATTAATTATGCTTCCCGAAAAATCTCAAGGCACAGACTGGAGGCAACTGTGGTAGCTGTGGGATTGGGCTCTCAGGGAGGGCGGAGGGATTCAACCAGGGAGGTGAAAGTCGGCGATGAAGTTCTGCCTCCGGAATATGGAGGCTCCAAGGAAGTTCTAGATGACAAGGATTATTCCTTACTTAGAGATGGTGCCGTTCTCGGAAAAGACGTAGAGTGCAGTAAGTCACTGTTGAAATGGCATCACACAACGCTGCCCACTCCACTGAAGTTCTACAGCCTTTCATCATGCAAATGATTTCCGTGTCTCTTTTATAATAAAGTGATGGGCGCTCAACTAAAGAAGATAAAGTAGTGGGGTGCAGCTCAGCGTGAGGGCTGGGCGGGCGCTGCACCTCTCCTGGCTGGTCTCTGCACCTCCTCTCCACACCTGCGGGCAGCTGATTCCAGGCCACGCAGTGCGGGCTGCAGGGGCTCGGTGCCGCCCGGGCGGTTGGAGACGTGCAGGGCAGAGCTGAGGTTGGTTCAGGGCCGCAGCACGGTCCTGGGTGACACAGTGTCCATCTGTAAGTTTATGTTTGTCACGCTGGCCCTGCCCGGCACACACAACTGGGTGTCGTGTGTCTCCCAGGAGGGCGCCAAGGAGTACGCCATGCTGCACAACCCCCGCTCCAAATGCTCTGGGCGGCGGAGGCGAAGGCACCACGTGGTCAGCGCTTCCTGCCCCAACACCTCCACCTCCACCTCCACCGTGGCTGAGACAAAGGAAGGGGACAGCGACAGGGACACGGGCAACGACTGGGCCTCCAGTTCTTCAGGTACAGCAGCCTGGCGGGGCTCTCCCCTCCCATGAGAGAGCTCAGGGATCCCAGGACCACCACTGACTCCGGACGTCTCTACCTTTTAAAATCGGTAGTTCAGGTGGTGCACACCTGCAGTCCCATTGCGGGAGGCTGAGGCAGGAGGATCGCCATGAGTTTGAAGCCAGCCTGGGCTCCATAGTGAGTTCAAGGCAGCCTGAACTGCATAGCGAGACCTTTCTCAAAAAAAATCGTTAGTTCTTTTCCCGAGTCCGCTGTCGGCAGTGGAGATGGGGAATGTCTGCATTCTTAGCTCTTCGGCCTCACGAGGTGGAATCAGGTGCTTCCGCTTTGTGGCACCGTTGCCGACAGCCACTCCCTGCTTCTCTCCGCCCGTCCTTCCCAGAGGCCAACTCCCGCTGCCAGACCCCCACCAAGCAGAAGCCCAGCCCCGCCCCGCCCCACTTCTGCGTCGTGGAGGCCCCGTCCGAGCCCGTGGAGTGGACCGGGGCCGAGGAGTCCCTGTTCCGCGTCTTCCACGGCACCTACTTCAACAACTTCTGCTCCATCGCCCGGCTGCTGGGCACCAAGACTTGCAAGCAGGTGACAGCCCCCGCCTGTCCCTCGCGGCCCGGGCAGCCTGGGTGTCTGGCTGGAACCCGGGGGCTTGATAACCAGGAGCCGCCCACCCTGCCAGCCCAGTGCATTTTAGGTGCACAGTACGTTTACATTTGTCACTGGGGCTGTACCTGAACATGGTGTATCTTGCTTCCTATTTTTTCCCCATTCCCTGTGCGCCCTTCACCCCCGACCTCCTTCCTGAATTCACACCCCGTACTGGGAAGGAACCCCGGGAGCCCCAGGGCCGGGCCTGCTCTCCTGGGCCCCGGCCTCCGGCGGTGCCCCTGTGGGCTCCCTTGGCAGCGGCCTGGGTGTCTCCCAGCCTGGCCGTAGAAGGTCTGTGTTCGGGAAGCGACTTCTCCACTTGGAGCAGTTAGGGGCTGCGAATGCCTTTGCTCTCCTTGTGGAGCACAGACCCTCTTCTTGCTCACACCTGTAATCCCAGCCACTCAGGAGGTGAGGCAGGAGGCTTGCAAATTTAAGGCCCGCTGGGCAACCTGGCGGGACCAGTCTGAAAATAAACAGGGTTGGGGCCGCACCCCAGTGGGGAAGCTGGGCTCCTTCCCAGGACCTCAGGGAGGGAGCGGGCAGGAGAGGGTGCACTGTTGCTCCAGCAGAGGGCGCTATGGCCGGGCCCAGGACCTGCTGGCGCCGGCCTCCGCTCTGTGACCCCGTGGTCCCCTGCTCCAGAACAGGCCTGTTCGGTGGGAGCTGGGCCGCCTATGCCCTGCGTGTCCCCTCCTCGGCCAGGAGGAGGTTTCGTCGCAGCCAGGGACCCAGGTCCCTGCGGCTGAGCAGGCTGCGGAAGGTGTGACCGTCACGCCCGCTTCTCCTCCAGGTCTTCCAGTTTGCAGTCAAAGAATCGCTCATCCTGAAGCTGCCCACCGATGAGCTCATGAACCCCTCCCAGAAAAAGAAGAGGAAACACAGGCAAGCTCAGGGCAAGCTCTCTATCCTCCCGGCCAGCGCGCTGGGCCAGGCAGGGTCTGTGGGCATCGAGAGGCCCAGTGCAGCGCTGGGTGCCCAGGGTGTGTGCCTGGGGCCGGCTGTGGACCGAGAGACCACTGCGCCCTTCCCTCTCCCGCTCTGGCCCAGCCGAGGCCACGTCTCAGTGGTTTACTCCCCGTGCCTGGCGCCAGTCTGAGCTGAGTAATAATAGCACCCTCCCGCCAGCCTGGGTACCTGATGACTGTCCCCCGCGGTGGGGAGCCTGCACCGCTCCTGGCTGTGGCATCCCTTCTTCAGTCCCTTCACCCTGTGAACCCCACCCCCCACCCTAATCTCCTCCTCCGCAGGGAAAGAAAACGAGCACCATATAGACCTGTAGGCCGGGACTGGCGGTCATGCTTGTAATCCCAGTACTCTGGGAGGCCGAGGGAGGAGGGTCACTCCTTTCAGCCCAGTCTGGGCAGCTTAGTGACATAGACCCTGTTCCAATTTGAAAAATAAGGGGCTGGGGATTTCACCCAGTGCAAAGGCCCTGGGTCCAATCTCTAGTACCACAAAGAAAAAACCACATGCAGTCTTGGGCTTCTCTTTGTGCCCTTGGTCTTTAATGCCTGTGTATTTGGAAGGGGCTTAAATTTACATCTGGCACAGGCCGGCTGCACTCAGGATGGGCTCTGGTGTCCATACAGTGGGCGTCCTGCGTCCAAGGGCCGGGCTGACCCTTCCTTCTCTCTCAGGTTATGGGCCGCACACTGCAGGAAAATCCAGCTGAAGAAAGGTAAGTGCCAAGCTGTGCTTGGCTCAGGGTTGGGCCTGCTCAGCACAGGCAAGGCTCCACCCCACCATCAAAAAACAGAATGAAAGGAAAGGTAGGTTCCCTCAGGGCGCCTCAGCCAGCTGTGCCTGAGGCCTGGCCTGTCCCATCCCCCACCCCCTGCAGCCAGCCGCTCTGGGTGGCCTGAGCTCGCTGCAGCCCTGGAGGCAGCCTAGGCCGGTGGCCTGTGGCTTCCCAGGTAGTGCACTGCCCACTGTCTTGCCACCACCACGCCCTGGCGCAGACCCAGGGAGGCCCACAGTGGAGTCGGGGTCAGAGTAGGGTTGGGGAGCCCGTGCCTGGTGCCTCTGGGCAGCTCCTTCTGCCTCTCCTAGACAACAGTGCCACGCAAGTGTACAACTACCAGCCCTGCGACCACCCGGACCGGCCCTGCGACAGCACCTGCCCCTGCATCATGACCCAGAATTTCTGTGAGAAGTTCTGCCAGTGCAACCCAGACTGTAAGAGCCCAGGCGCCCGCCCGCCCACCCACCCGCTTTGCTGCCTGCCCTCCGTACAATAGGTGTGGTTGGCACTTGAGCCCGAGCAGCTGCTGCAGATCTGGAGAAGTTTTGAGTTTTTGGTGTTCTGTTGTTGTTCTGCTTTTTGCTCTTTTAAAGAGCCAGGTAGAGCCAGGTGTGGTGGCACACACCTCTGGTCCTAGCACTGGGGAGGCTGAGGCAGGAGGATCGCCAGGAGTTCGAGGCCACCCTGGGCATAGTGAGTTCAAGGCCAGCCTGAACTCCATAGAGAGACTGTTTCAAAAAACCAAAAAAAAATCGAAAGAAGTTTTTTAAAAAGGCATCTCTCTGTGTTGTCCAGGCCAGCTTTTGAAAGCCCTTAGGTCGATGGTTCTGAAGACAGCAGCTGGGCAGAAACTTGATGCGTCCCAGCTCTCTCAGGGGGAACAAAGAGGCCAGGGAGTCTTTTTCCTCAAGGTACAGTTAGTTTCCCTTTTCAGGAAATTGTTTTAAAGTTTCCTTCAGCTAGCCCTGGTGCACCTGTAGTCTCAGCCCTCAGGAGGCTGAGGCAGGAGGATCGCTTGCCTTGAGAATTCAAGACTGGCCTAAGTGAATTTAAATTTGGTTTTTTAAATCATTGTGGTCACAATTCTGTGTCTTTTTTTTCTTTACGAGCTGGAGTTTGATACCAAGTAGGAGAGGGACATGGAAGTCCGCAGCGCCTGAGAGTGGCTTTCTCCCCGTCCTGGGGTGGAGGGTGGCGGCAGCCCCGGCTGCAGGAGGCAGTGTCTGCCCCTCCTACCAAGGGCTGATACGATCTAGCCACAGCCTCGCCTTGCCGAGAGGCCATGGGCCGTGGGCGGAGGGGCCCTGGAGCGGATGCCCGGCCTCCTCAGAGTAACTCTTGTTTGCGGGGGGTTCCCCAGTGAGGAGCACTGATTTCCTTTTCTCCTCGGCTCTGCCCACCTCCCTCGCAGCTCCACGCAGGCTGTGGTGCCCGGGGTGGGCACGCCTGTGGCGGAGACTCGAAGGCAGGAGCAGACGCTGTGTTGGGTGCTCAGGAGCAGCCCCGGTGGGCGGGGCCCTTGGCTGGCCCAAGTCTGGCCTGGTCCCCAAGGTCCCGAGTCTCCCCTAACCTGCCCGGCCTCCCGCCCAGGCCAGAACCGCTTCCCCGGCTGCCGCTGTAAGACCCAGTGCAACACCAAGCAGTGTCCCTGCTACCTGGCAGTGCGGGAGTGCGACCCTGACCTGTGCCTCACCTGCGGGGCCTCGGAGCACTGGGACTGCAAGGTGGTGTCCTGCAAGAACTGCAGCATCCAGCGCGGCCTCAAGAAGGTGTGGCCCGGCCCCCCCAGCCCGAGCCCCATCCCACTCGCCCCGCACCTGCTGAGCTCTGCCCTGTCCTCCAGCACCTGCTGCTGGCCCCCTCAGACGTGGCCGGCTGGGGCACCTTCATCAAGGAGTCGGTGCAGAAGAACGAGTTCATCTCCGAGTACTGCGGCGAGGTGGGTGCTGGGGCCCTGGGCGGGAGGCCCCTCGTGGGGACGTGGACGTGGCCAGCCCCGGTGGGACGGTAGCGCAGGACCTGGCTGTGTCCTGGACCTGGCCTCCAGCCCACCTGTCCCTCCTGTGTCCCCAGCTCATCTCCCAGGATGAGGCCGACCGGCGAGGGAAGGTCTATGACAAATACATGTCCAGCTTCCTCTTCAACCTCAACAACGGTGCGCTGAGGCGGGGCGGCCTCCCTGGGAAAGTGGGGATCAGACCCAGACCTTCCCGCCCAGCAGATGGGAAGAGGGGCTCCACAGTCCTGGCAAGAGGGGAGACAGAGGGGCTGGGATTTAGCTCAGTGGTTCCACCGCCTGCCTCGCAAGCACACGGTCCTGAGTTCGATCCCCGGCACCCCCGGAAAAAAGAAACAAAGAGGGGAGACAGGGCCCTGCGCGGCAGATTGCGCGTCCCCTGCACACAGGGCTGGACCCTGAGGAGCCGGGTGTCCACCGCCCTCTGCCTGCCTTTCTGGTCTGAAGGTGCATGCGGTTCTGGGGACGCTCATGGTTGTCTTTGTCCCCTCTGCAGATTTCGTTGTGGATGCTACCCGGAAAGGGAATAAAATCCGATTTGCAAACCATTCGGTGAACCCCAACTGTTACGCCAAAGGTGGGTTCCCTGGGCCTCCAGTGGGGTGCGGCTGTTTCCCCCACATCTGCCACAGTCTCCACTGTCACTCAGCCTGCTCATCACTGAGCTTTTTTTGCCCAAAGATAATCATGATTAATATCAATATCATTTTAGGCCTCTCAGTTTTTTGTTTTTACTTTTTTTGGTACCAGGGATCGTACTCAGGACCTTGTGCTTGTCAGGCAGGCTCGGGGACACTGAGCTACATCCCTGGCCCTTAGGCTTCTCGGTTTTATGATCTGCTTTCTTTACCGGCTACATTAACATCATTCTCCCACAGACGTGATTTAAAGATAAGTCAGGTAGCTGAGCCAGAGAGTGCTTACCCAGTGAGTGTGAGGCCCTGGGTTCAGTCCCTAATACTGCAAAAGGAAAAAATCCCCACACTTGCAGCCAGCTGAGAGATGCGCAGCACAGGGCCAGCGGCCTGCCTCAGCTGTTCTTCAGGTCCCTGCGACCCCTGGGAGGGGGGCCCCCTCGTCCCTGTCCCCGAAGTGACGGGGGCGGCTGGGCTCTTCCGGTTTGTAGTGGTCATGGTGAACGGAGACCACCGCATCGGAATCTTCGCCAAGAGGGCCATCCAGGCTGGCGAAGAGCTCTTCTTTGACTACAGGTGAGCGGTGGGTCCCCGACCGACCGGCCTGGGCACGGCGGGGGCACTGCAGCTGTGAGGGGTGGGAGGATTCCGGGTCCCCAGCCCCCTGGCTAGAGAGTAATGGGCTCCTCCCACCGGCAGGTACAGCCAGGCCGACGCCCTCAAGTACGTGGGGATCGAGCGGGAGGCTGATGTCCTGTAGCTGTGCCGGCCAAACTTGGCACTGTCCTCGCTTTCACAGTCGCCCGCTGCTGCTCAGTCGCACTGTTGTCTTCCACGCCGAGAACCCCACCCCTCTGCAGTGAGGCCGCAGCTGTATGCCGGGGACACCCCCATCTCAGGAGGGGACAGGTGGCAGGGCTGGGTCCCCAGGTCTGGCTGCGGCCCCTGAGTCACTCAGGTTGCTCCTAGTGACCCGGCCTCAGCTCTCCTAGCAGGGCTCGCTGATCAGGTGCCAGGCACAGCAGAGAGGGCCCCGGTCCCCAGAGCCTGGCAGGCAGCAGGGCTGGGGCAGGGGGACAAGCGTCACCTTCCTACTGCCTCCTCTGGCAGAGTCCAGACAGAAAGTGTGGGTTCCGGGGACAGAGGGAGACCCAGCTGGGTGACTGCGGTTCTGCTGGGAACTTGACCCTGGGGCCAACACTCGAGCAGGTGGGAAACTGTCTTCAGGTTCCAGGGAGCAGGTGTCCCCGTCCTTCCAAGCTGCAGCTCACCTCTGTGGCTGCACGCTGTGCTGCTCCTGACGAGTGGGCTGGGGGCAGTTGTTCCCTAGGGGAACACGGTGGGATTTCCCAGCCATCTGCCCACATTCACATTCAGGGTGAACACCGCAAGTCAGGGCGGCCGGGCCTCGGGGATCCGCAGTGCTGGGTGCAGCAGCTGCCACTCTCTTCGGAGCTCCCGAAGAGCAAAGCACTTTATTCCTTAGGGGTGTGAGCCTGAGGGTGGCCCAGAGCCTACTCGGGGGAGCAGCGAGGGGCCCCAGCTTCCCCATTCTTCTCCTCCCTGAGAGGCCGGGCTGGGGAGCAGCGCCAGGGGCTGTCACCTGGAGGGAGTGGGGTTGGCCAGGCTGCACTGTGCCTGCCCAGCCTCGCCCAGCCCCCAGGCTGATTCGGGACCTGCGGTGTGTGAGTTGGGGACCCTCGAGCTGGGCTGTGAATCAGGAGCAGAGGCAGAGGAGGCAGGGCCCCAAGAGGGTGGGACATGACTTTCCAGCCCCCAGAGAGGTTGGAGCGAGCCCTGGTCCCAGGCCTCCCCCCTGCGCCTCCAGGACTGATCTGTGTCCTTACTGTCCCCCCTTCAGCCCTAAGGCCTCAGCAGCAGCCACCGCGGGTGAATTCACGCACTTTACAGTCCTGTGGCTTGTGACCTCTTCCTTAATAAAGCGTTGGTGCCACCTGGGCAGGATCTTCGTGTGCTTCGGGCTGGGAGGGCGGTGCCAGCTCCAGCAGGTCAGACCCGGTAGGCAGCCACGACTGGAGCTCCTGCGACCTGGCTGGTTCCCTTTACGGCCTCCCCCGCATCGCGTGACCTCGGCGCCAGCCACCACACACAGACAGCTCTGCCACTTGCTTTATTGGAGACGGGGGGCGGCGAGTGGCTGGCAGGACTGAGCCGGCTAGCCAGTGGAGCTCTCAGCAAACTCGCCTGGGCACAGCACGGGCAGCCTGCTGAGCTGCTCTTTTATATATAAACATAATTTAAAAATTAGTGATATATAGGCTTTCTCTAGACAGACTTTGCAACAAAAAATAAATATAAAGAACATGGCCCCGGGTGGGCTGGGAGGACGCCTCATGCGCTGGGGGCCGGGGGCCGTGCATCACCAGGCGGGGTCTGCGTTTCTCTAGGGTGTTGCAGGGTTTCTTATGGCTTTGGCTCAAGCGTGAAGCAGCAGAGGTTCTAAGGTGCTAGGCAGAGGCCTTGTGGTCTCGCTGTAAAAAACGAAAAGGGTGGGGAGGGTGGCGAAGCCCTGGGCCCTGCAGAGGATGCAGGTGCAAGAGGCTTCGGGGTGGGGGGCATCCGAGGCGGCAGCTCCGCCCTGGGCTGCAGCCCCACGTGGAGGCTCTGCTGATGGTGAACCTGGCACAGGATCGGGTGCAGACAGCTGGCAGGAAGCCCAGCGCCACCCTGGGGCTTCTCCGTGGGGCTGGAATGGAGCGGCAGGGCCCTGGTCTCGGCAGTGAGGCTCAGCCATCCCCGTTGGTCCCGTCTGTAGCTCTGCCCACCAGGCCTGCAGGAGGAGACCTGCTGGGTGGGCAGGGCCAGCCCAGAGCGGCCAGTGCCCCGAGGGTGGGGAGAGTCAGGAACAGGGGTCTGGAGAAGCTAGGCTTGGTCCCTGAAGTCCCCAGTCATTCCGACCTGGACTCCTCCAGGATCTGGGGCAGGTTTTGGTCCCGGGGGCCGGGGCCTGGGGCCGGGGCCGGGGCTGGGGCGGGGGCCGGGGCTGGGGCCGGGGCCGGGGCTGGGGCGGGGGCCGGGGCTGGGGCCGGGGCCGGGGCTGGGGCGGGGGCCGGGGCTGGGGCCGGGGCCGGGGCTGGGGCTGGGCCCGATGCAGGCAGGGGCGCTTTGCTGGCCGCTTGGTCATCATGGGCGGCCTTGGGCTCATTGGTGTGGTAGGAGCCCTTGTAGCGATGGTTCTGCAGATAGAAGAGCACCAGCATCCCCACCAGCCCCAGCAGCAGGAAGGCCACCAGAACTGCGGAGGAGAGGGGCGCCTCAGAGCAAGCTGGAGGTTTCCCCACAGACACCCACATGTGCACACAGCACTCAGCCAGAAGCATGTGCACACACAACTGCCAGTCAGGTCCCCACATCAGCTGAATTCCTGCTTTATCCCCTGGCCAGCTTCTAGTTCTCCTGCTCTCTTTCCACATTCCTGGTAGTTAGCCCAGTGTCTCCTCCCTGGATGTTACTGTGCCCACATCTCTTCATTGTTTAGCTACAGCTATAGTTTAACGTTACAGTTACAAGTGTGTGGCCAGCCTGGGTGATGTAGTGAAGCCCTGTCTCAAAAACAAAATAAGGGCCGGGGATTTAGCTCAGTGGTTCCGCCTCCTGCCCAGCAAGCCCAAGGACCCGAGTTCGATCCTTGGTACCAAAAAACAAAGAAAATGTATAGCATCTAGCCAGGTACAGTGCCACGCACTTGTAATCCCAGCTACTCAGCCGAGGCAAGAGGATTTCAAGCCCAGGCTGAATAATTTAGCAAGATCCTGTCTCCGAGTGAAAAGCTGAGGATGTGGCGGAGTACTTGCCCATCATGCACAGACCCTGGGTGCAACCCTGGTGCCACACGTGCCTCCCTCAAGGGGAAAGTCTCCAGCCTCCAGTAGCAGTGGCACGGGGCGCCCGCACCATCCCTCAGTGGCCCGGGTCGGGGACGGGGCCCGGGGTCAGGTTAGGGGTCTGCCACTCACAGCCTAAGAGGATGGCAACCCAGCCGTCGTCATGGTAGTACAGGAAGTCTGCAGGGGACAGCACAGTTACAGATGCCTCCCAGAAAGAGCACCAGCCCTTCCCTCCCGCCACCCTTCCTCCCCATCGGGCTAGGCCAGGGCCATACCTGGGGGCAGGTACCAGGGGTCAAGCTCAGGGGGCACCTCGGAGACCAGGCGGGGCATGGCACCGCAGTTGGACTCAGCCAGCTCGCCCTGCACGCGGAGGGCCTCGGCCAGCTCAGCGGTCATGGGCCGAGGGCTGCGAAAGTGGGTCTTGAGGGGGGCCACGTTGTTGAAGCGGACGCCGGAAAGGCAGCCCGAGAAGCCCGGGGTGTTGTAGCGCTGGATCTCGGGGTCGATGACACCCGTCTCTGAGGGATAGCAGGCCCGGAAAGAGCAGCTTGGACCCCGGGAGATGGCCCTCGAGTCCGAGGGCCTGCTGCTCATCTCTGACCACCCTCCCGCCATGCCGGGTCCAGGGGCCTCGCGTGAAGCTCACCCATCACGCGCCCCAGGTACAAGGCCTTGGGTGAGTCCAGCTGGCTGTCCACCAGCAGCGAGAACTTCTGCTCCGTCAGCGGGAAGTAGTCCACCTGCAGGGAGGGATGGGAGGGGACCAGGTAGACCTGTCAGGCAGGCAAGTCCTCACTCTGGGCCTGTCATCCCAGCACTCGGGAGGCTGAGGCAGGAGGATTGCCGAGAGTTCGAGGCCACCCTGGGCTACATAGTAAGTTTAGGACCAGCCTGAGCTTCAAAGCAAGACCTGTCTCAAAAAAATCAAAAACATGGGCCGGGGATTTAGCTCAGTGGTTTCACTGCCTGCTGTGCAAGCACAAGGACCTGAGTTCGATCCCCGGTACCAAAAAAATAAAAAAATAGAAAACAAAAAAGGGCCAGGGATTTAGCTCAGTGGTTCCAGCGCTTGCCTCACAAGCGCAAGGACCTGAGTTCGATCCCCGGTACCAAAAAAATAAAAAAATAGAAAACAAAAAAGGGCCAGGGATTTAGCTCAGTGGTTCCAGCGCTTGCCTCACAAGCGCAAGGACCTGAGTTCGATCTCCGGTACCAAAAAAAAAAAAAAATTCACAGAAAAACAAAAACAAACACAAAAAATCAAAAATGACTGTCATCCCATCCCAGCACTCTGGAAGGCTGAGGCAGGAGGACTGCAAGTTCGAGCCCAGCTTGGGTAACTTAATTAACTCAGTGAGACCCTGCCTCAAAATAAAAAATAAAGAAAGGGCTAGTGATGGTGTTCAGCGTGAAGGCCTGGGCTCAGTCCCCAGCACTGGGCAAACATTAACCTGGTTCTGAGCCCTGTCCTTGTGGCTTACCTCGGTTTGACCTTGGGGAAGTTACTTGGTGAGCCTGCCTGCTGACTTGGGGAGCACAGACGGGAAGCCCCTCTGTGCAGGGCTTCTGTACCCTTGCCCGGCCCCAGCCCCGCACCTGGATGAAGAGGTTGCGGTAGACCCGGGTGATGTTGACGCTGTGCGGCTGCCCATCCGTCACAGGCCGGGTGGTCAGCGGGTACACGTAGGGGCTGGTGCCCAGCTGGTACCGCAGCTGCAGGGTCCCTGTGCGGGGAGAGAGGCGTGACTCGCGGCCGCACAGCCGCCGGGCCCCGTGGACCGGCCACGGCAGGGCACCCACCGTCCTCCTTGATGAGCACCGCCATGTAGTCGCGCACGAAGGAGCTGACGTACAGCAGCACCGCGGGCGCCACGCTGGTGCTGAAGCTGAAGGAGACCTCCTCCCCTGTGACATTGTACACGGGGCCCCGGTACCCGGGCACGGGCCGCCCAGGCCTCGGGTAGTCGGGCCGCCGGTAGCCGGGGCCGTGGTAGCCAGGGACGTAGCCGGGGGAGTCATAGCCAGGGACGTAGCCAGGCTCATAGCCAGGGACTGGGCGGCTCAGCATGTGGGAGAACTCGCGGGCAGCCGAGCGCAGTGCCGACTGCAGGTTATAGCGCATCCAGGTGCCCGGCTCAAAGAAGCCACCGATGTCTGCAGAAAGAGGAGAGGTCTGGGCCCCGGCTCCTCACTCCCATGCCAGTGGGCTTTGGTTTGTTTTGTTTGCAGCACCAAGGATGGAACCCAGGGGTTCTCCACCACTGAGCTACATCCCCAGCCTGTCTTTAGTATTTGAGACAGGCTCTTGCTAAATTTTTGAGACAGGACTAGAACTTGGAATCCTCCTGCCTCAGCTTCCCTCAGCCCTGGGATCACCGATGTGGGCCACCACTCCTGGCTGAAATCACAGGTTTAGATGCCATTCCCACACACGCTGGAGGGTCACCCGGTCCCTGCCACCATCACCACCCTTCAGGTCCCCGCGAGGCCCTCTGCCCCAGCATGGAATCTTAAAGCCGTGAAATGTAAGAGCTCCTCTCGTCTGACCTCCAAATTGGCAGATGGGGAAACTGAGGCTTGGGATGGGTCGTGACGGGTCCCAGGTCCACAGTGAGAGCCAAGATCAGGACGAGAGTCCCATGGTCCTCTGTGGCTGCCCAGGTCCCTGTGTCACCCTGGCACAGGCCCCACCACCTGCGTCCCCAGGTCACAAAGGGCGGCATGGTCTGGGGCATCGGCTGTGTTCACTGCCCAGGCCGAGCCCTGAGCTGGCTGACAAGTGTCTCAGGCACACGGGCACTGTCGCCCAGGAAATGGTGCAGAAGGGCATCACGAGGCCGGGAGTCGCTGCACACACGAGGGACGTACGGCCCGCGCCCCTCAGTGCCCGTGGGGACGGAGCGTCACTCGATTCACACTTTTGAGCTGTTCTGCAGTACTGGGGATTGAACCCAGGGCCTTCGTGCGGAGCTACGTTTCCGCCCTTCTTGTTTTCTATTTTGAGTCAGCTTCTCGCTGAGTCACTAAGTTGCCTGAGCTGGGCTTGAACTCCCAACCCTCCTGCCTCGGCCTCCCAGGGCACAGGGGCTACGCGCGTGCACCAGCCCTGGGTCCTCTTTCCTCTCTACTCCTCCGCTGCCCCAGCCCACTGTGCCTCGAGGCTCCCTCCGCGTCCCAGCAGCACTGACCCTGGTTGCAGTAGGGCCCGTCGAAAGCTGTGAGGTCGCAATCGCAGGTGTAGTAGCTGTAGTGCTCCACGCAGCGGCCACCGTGGGAGCAGGGGAAGCGCGGGTGGGCACAGCGGCCCGTGCAGTTGGGGGACGTCCCCTCGGAGGCGTTGGCCCGGCCCTCCAGGTTCAGCGTCACCCCGTTCAGACGCATGGCCCTCAGGCAGCCCACAAAGGGGCGCCGCTTGAGCTCCGCCGATCCTGGCCAGGAAACATGTGGAGGGCGAGGGTGAGGCCAGGCAGCGCCCTGGGTTCCGCGCTGGCCACCAGGACTGTCCGGGGCGCTCACCCACGTGGAGCGGCTGGTCGTACTCCAGCCAGAGGTAGGTCTGCAGGGGCATGGGGCGCACCACCCACGGCCGGTGGTCCACGCGCAGTCGTGCCTGCTTCACGTTGATCTCGGCCCTCACCAGGTGCCACTCATCGTCGCTGAACTCGAAGTCATCGGAGTGGACCGTCAGGTTCTCGTCCCCGTTCCCCACGTCGAAGGCGAAGACCACGTCCCGGGACGCTGGGCGGGGTGACCAGGCATGGAGGGGCAGGGGCTGGGACTCCACTAGCCCTCGTGGGTTCCCGGCCCAGCACGACCCCGGGGCCACACAGCCAGCCCTCCATCCCCAAGCCTGAGCTCACTGTTGAGCTCCACACGCAGGTACGGCCGGCGCCACCCGCCGTAGAGGCCTGCTTGGTTCTCCAGGAAGACGCCCGAAGGCGCCGAGGTCCGGAAGTAGAAGGACACGTCCAGGCTGTGGTTGGCACGGATTGCGGGGAAACGCAGCGCGGCCCCGGTGTGGAAGGAAATGGTATTCCAGGAGTTTCCTGCAACACCAGGGGATGGAGGCCGCTGGGGAGGCCAGGTGGAGGGGTGGGGACCCCGACGACTGGGCACAGCAGGGCGCCTGGCAGTGTGGCACAGAGAAGGGTGTGGCACTCACGGTCCCCGTAGCAGCGCAAAGGCCTCAGGAAGAACTGGGCCTCGGAGTTGGAGCGGTTGGTGTCGCCCACCACCACCTGGGTGACAGGCAGGTGGTCCACAAAGGTCAGCAGCCCCTTGTCGGTTCTCCTGCAGGGTGGGTTGGGGGCTCAGCCAAACCCTCCACGCCCCCCGCCAACCCTCCCCGTGTCCCTCTGTCCCCTCCTCGGCCCTGGAGGCCTCACCACTGTGGCTGGTCAGCGTCGCAGTTGCAGTGCAGGGCAGGGTCCACGCAGCTGTGGTCCAGGCCGCAGGCGCAGCGCCGGATGCCAGGCTGGGAGCCGCCCCAGTAGAAGTGCTGCTCCTCGTGGCGGCCGATCCAGAAGCTGTAGGGGTAGCCGCCTGGGGACGGGTCCCGGGTCGCTGCCAGGGCTGCCCTCTGCCCAGCCTGCCCTCACCCTGCAGCCCCGAGCCCCGCCCTGCTGACCTGCCGTGTTGAGCAGCCGGGAGTTGTAGCAGGAGAACTCGATCCACTGCTCGCAGTGCTGCGAGGCGTTGGCCAGCGCTCCGACCTCCTCCCACGATGCGTTCCAGTACTGCACGGCCGCCAAGAAGGGCCGCTCCATGCTGGAGCCTGACACGCGTGTTGTCCACAGCCTGTCGTGCCGCACCACCGTCCACGCTCGGTTCTCTGGTGGGGGACAGGGCCCAGGCCGAGCCAGGGCGTCTGTTCCGCCTCCCTGCCCACTGCTCCCGCCACTCGGGGACGGCAGAGGTGGCTGGTGGGGACTCCCCAGCACAGTCCCCCTTAGGGACAACAGGCAGGGATCCAAGCTGTACTGACCTGAAGGCCAGTGTCCGCCGCCCGTGACCCCACATAGTCAATGCACACCCCCCCGTCTCTGTTTCCCGAGCCCACTGCCGCTCACCCCGGATGTCACAGTACACCACGAATGGCTTCAGGGGGCCACTGCCGTCAGGGTCGATGGTGAAGTTGCCGGAGATTTTCCCGCTGAGCCGGTAAGCCTCACAGGATTCCTTATACAGCGCTGCGAGGGTGGGAGGGTGGCGGTGAGGGCTGCAGGTTCCCGGCCCCCATCTCCAGCTGCCCTGCCCCCACCCGCCCCCGCCCGCCCCGGGCTTACGCTGGTGGCAGGTCTCGCCCTTGTAGCCGGTCAGCTCACAGTAGCAGATAAAGTCGTCCCAAGACTGGTAGCAGCGGCCATCATGCTCACACATGTTGGGGCTGCACCTGGGAAGGGTCGGCACCAGGAAGGGCTCTTATTTTGGAGGGAAGCAGGGGCAAAGTCTCATTATGTAGCCCAGGCTGGCCTGAAACTCCCGGCGATCCTCCTGCTTAGCCTCCCAAGTGCTGGGATGACAGGTGTGGACCACCACACCACACGGGGTGAGAAGGCGTCTTGCTGGGGTTGTGAGAGGGCTCTGATCCCGTGGGGCCTTCCTCCACGTCCCTGGAGCACCAGGACCTGGTGACAGGCACCCAGCCTTGGGAGCCAGGGAGGAACACAGATGCAGGGGCACTGGACACTCAGGGCCCAGGTCCTCTGGTCCCTGTTCCCACAGAGGGCAGAAAATTCCTTATTCCACCCCCGCCACTTGGTGAGAAAACCCCTGCAGGAGCAAAAACGTGCATCATTTCCATCCAAAGTGTGTGTCGCTTATGGGAAGGCTCAGGAGGTGTGTGCGGTCAAGGAGGACTCTTTCCAGGGTGGCCAGAGGCGGGAGACCCTGGCCGAGGGGTTTAGGGGGCACTGCTGGCTGGGAAGCATGTGCCCGGTACCTGTCGGTGATGCCACATGTGTCAAACAGGACCTCAGCATAGTGTCCCAGCCGCCTGAACTCCACCAGCGTGAGGTTGACCAGCTGGCCGTCCACCTTGAGCAGCTCCATGCAGCCATGGAAGGCTGTCTGGTTGGAGTGGCAGCCCCATCGGCTGGCTGGCTTGGGACAACCTGCAGGGACCGAGCACCCAGTGAGGCCCTCCCCAGGGACCCTGGGACCCTCCTCCCCCGGGAGTCAGACGGGAAGAGAGAAGGGAGCAGGAACAGAGGCGCAGCCAGGGACCGGGGCCTCTCTACCCCAAGGCCTCAGTGTGAGTGGGGTGGGTCCTCACAGAGCCCCCCCCCGGGCACCACTCGGTGGCCTCACATGGCCTTTCCACCCAGGAATGAACCTGGCGCCCACCTACCCCCAAAAAAGTACGAGGTCCCCGTGCGAATGAGCAGAGGGTAGGAGACCCGGACTTCTGCGCCCTCCACATCGTCGATACTGATGACCGCCTGGTTCTCCTGGGCCACAAAATTGACCTCATGCCAAAAGCCGTCGTTCAGGCGGTACCCTGGGCAGAGGAGGGGGTGGGGTGGGCGACAGCAGAGCCAGGGTCAGCTCAGAACCAGGAGCACAGGCCCCGGGCCAGGCCCACGCCCGCCTCCACCTCACCAGCCGCGAACTGCAGGCGCTTGCGGGCGGCCTGCGCGATGGACACATTGACCTGGCCATCGCTCAGCATCAGCTCCACGTGGCCCAGCCCGTCGCCCAGGCTGGAGAACAGCAGCAGCCCCGTGAGGTCCCAGGTGCGGAAGCGGAAGGACACGGCCAGGCGTCCACGGCGCGGGAAGCCGGGGATCTGCACGTAGTTGTGTGGTCCCCCAAAGTTGATGGGGTGTGGGACCGGGTCCAGGCATCGGAAGGCCACCTTGCCCTGTGGCGGAAGTGGGGACCCTCAGCCCGGCAAGCACAGGGATCCGCCAGCCCTGACTCTTCGCTGCAGGTGCCCCGCAGTAGGGGGGCCCAGCTGCGTGGTGGCCCATGACTGTCATGTCAGCGCTCTGGAGGCTGAGGCAGGAGGATGGAGTACGGGGCCAGCCTGGACGACCTAATGCCCCTGTCTCAACCCGCACCCAAATTGGGGGTCCCGAGCAGGCCGGCCCAGGAACCCCGCTTGCTCCCTCTCCACCACTAGTCCACACTGTCCCTGCTCCACCAAGTGCAGCTTCTGCTGGGCCCCGCGCATGTGCTTGGTGTCCAAGCCCAGCCAGCCAGGACAGCAAAGGCCCCAGGTTCGAGTCCCTGCTCCGCCGCTGAGCGACTCCACGCACCCTAGTGCACTCAGTGTCCACCCACCCCACCCCCATCTACCAGCCAAAGAGGCGACAGGACTGAATACAGCTCCTCTGGGGTGCGCGGCCTTCCCCCCATCCGCGGTCCCCTCCCGCCCATCAGCGCTTGGCCTTCCGGGCCCCTGGACTCCGCCCACTGGCCTCGAAGGTGATCCTCGAGTGGCGCCGCACGGCCAGGTCAGCAATGTTGACCCGGTTGAAGATCACGTTCTCAATACAGCCGCGGAAGTTGTGCCGGTAGGCGAGGTTCTTCTGCGTAGCGCCCACCAGCCCCCCGATGAACATCTGCGGGGTGGGGGCGAGCAGGGAAGACTTGAAACCCACATTTCCCCGGGGCGGGGGCGGGGCTGGGTTTGGCCTGGAGTCCACCAGGCTGCCTGTGCCTGGGTCAGTCAACATCCTTGTCAGCATAGGGGGCTGGAGCCTTTCTCAGCTCCGTGGGGCTTGGGGAGGCCCCAAGAGGACAATTTTCCCCAATCTGGACTTCTTGACCCCACCTCCGTGGTTCTGGGTGGGGCAGAGGCGTGGGCAGGGACAGAAAGCTGGGCCCTGCGGGTGAGCGCCCAGAAACTCTGGGGCGAGAGGATCGCCTGCTGCCGGAGCCACCTCACCTCCGAGTCCAGGTTCAGCCGCTCAAAGTCGCCGTTGAGCACGAAGCGCTGCACATAGCCATCCAGGGTGAGGTTGGCCTCACGCCCATAGCGGTCCAGGCGCACGTAGTGCCAGTGCTGGTCGTTGAGGACGCCACCCGCACTCACTGTGGTGTGGCCGGGCCTGGGCTGGATGGGGCTGCTGCCTGGGGGTGGGGACCGCGTGAGATGGCCCGGGAGGGCCAGGGAGCCCCACCGTGCCCTCGCTGCTTCACCAGCTGGGTGCCACGGTGAGGGGCGGAGGCCTCACCCAGGCTCATGTGCAGCAGCAGGTGTGCCCCCTGCAGCTCCAGCGTCACGTAGTCGCCCTGGGCGCCCTCGGAGTGCAGCAGGAGCCCGTCCTTCTCCTCCGTCTTGAAGCTGAACGCGATCACGTCCCACAGGCTGCGGCTGACGCCCCGTGGGAAGCGGTAGGAGATGGCGTCATCGCCGTCGAAGTAGAGGATGTCGGACTCTGCAGGGCAGAGGACCCGAGGTGGGCAGGCCATGCTGGGAGCCCACCCTGGGGTCTCGGGGTCCCTAGCCAAGTCTTACTGTAGGGGCAGCCATAGAGGCCGAGCCGCAGGCCGATCTTGCCTCGAGGGTTCCAAGCCAGGGGCACAATGCGCACGTAGCGTGCTGTGAAGTGGTAGTGCAGGTCGTGGCGCACGACCGCAGACTCGTTCACGTTGCCAAAGAAGGTCTGCGGGGGAGGGATAGTGCGGGCCACGTCCCATCCTCTGTCTCCACCTCTTACTCCTCCAAGTGCAATGCAACATCACCTCCTCCAGGAAGCCCTCCCACGTTCGCCTCACGCGTGGAAACCCTGTGTTCTGAGAGTGTCCTGCACACCCAGGGGCTGACTGTCCTCCTCTGGAATTCACCTTCCCTGTCCCCTCAACCCTGTCCCTCCCACCGTGCCCAGCCCAGGGCACAGAGCAGAGGCCTCCCCAGAGTACCGCGTTGTGCCCTTGCTGGTAGAATGGTGTCCAGCTGTCCACGCGGTCGCCGTACAGCAGCATGTAGCGTGTGACCCAGTCCCAAGAATTAAAGGAGCCCTGTGTGGCCACAGCGCGGATCCTGTGCTTCTTCATCAAGTCGATCTGCAGCCAGGGGTTTGAATCCCGGGTGTGGGGTGACCACCCACTTATGCCTGCAGAGAGGCAAGTACTTTCACCGCCGATGCCTTCCCCGCCCTGGGAATCCCCACCTGCCCGGGGTGGCAGCTCACCGTGCAGCCGGGCGAAGCGTGCTGTGGTGAAAAGCCCATAGTAGGAGGAGGCGCCCAGGGAGCGCGCGTAGAGCGGCCCCACCAGCTCCTCATCGCAGCCGTCTGCGGTGGGGAGGGAAGCTGTCACCCAGCGCCCCCCGGGCCCTGAGGGCTGGGTCCACCCAGCAGCCTGGCGTCCTCTCTGCTGCCCCCCAGCGGCAGACCCGGCCCACCTGGAGGCCCCGGCTCAGCCTGGGCTGCAGCAACAGCTGCAGGTGCAAAGGTGGGGTTCATCTCTTGGGGTGCCCTCAGGCCAGACCCTCCCCGGCCCACTGACCTGCCCTGGTCCAGTGTCGCCCCAGCACCACCCAGAACCCGAATCAGCCCACGACGCCAACCCAGCCTCATCCTTCCCATCTGTCTCACTCATCAAACCCCCAAACCTGCACCACCCCAAAAGCCAGCCCCCCTCCTGCCCCCTCCCAACACTCCCTAGCTCCACGGGGTTGGCCCCGTCCGGACCACCAACTCCTGCTTGGATCCCCGCCCAAGCCCAGCCCCAGCCACAAACCCAGCCCGGGGCCAAGCCCAGCCTTGGCCCCTGCCAGAAGCGGCGCCCCTGCGGGGTCACCAACCCAACTCCCAGCCCCACACCCCCGCCCGGCGCCGGCGCGCGCAAAGGCCGCGGAGCTGCATTGCGGAGCGCGGGGGGCGGCGGGCGGGGAAGGAAGGACCGCGACCACCCAGCCGCATTGCGCATTGCGGCCCGGGACCCGCCCTGCAGCCGCTCGGCTCCACCCGCCAGCCCCGCACTCACAGTAGCCCCAGCCCCGAGCTCCCGAGGCCGCGGCGGCGAGCAGGACGCATAGCAGCCGCAGCCGCATCTCGTCGGGCGGGCTCGGGCTCCAGCGCCCGGCTCTGCTCCTGGGTTAGCACTGGGGCGCTGTCCCCTCTCCGTCCTCTCCTGCCCCAGCGCTCCCGCTCTCCCGCCCTCTCCTCCCGGGGCTCCGCTCTTCTCCCTCTCCTCTCGCGCCTCCCCCTTCCCCAGCCTTCGCTCCCCGCACGCGCAAGCGCGCGCCTCAGCCCCACGCGACAGGGCGGGAGGAGAGCACCCCACCCGCCGGGAAACCCCAGCGCCGAGGCCGCGGGGCTGACGGGGATGGCAAAGGGAGGCAATAACCTGAAAACACTCCAAGCGAAGGCGCGAGGGAGAGGCAGACCTACAGACAGACCACAGGCCGGGCAAGTCGCAACCCCACACTTCCCGAGGTGCCTGGGCCCCGCTCCCACGCCGGGCTCCCTCCTGACACTGTGCAGTCGGCATTTTCACCTGACTTCTCTTTGCAGAGGAAAAAATCCTGAGGCTCAGAAAGGTTGACTTCTCAAGCAGTTAGCAGACAGTGATGTTCCCAAACCCCTCTTTTCCGGATGGAGGATGAAGGGAAATCCTTCCAGAGGCGATGGGGTGCACAGGCTGTCCCGACCCCAGTCCCTCCACTCGGCTGCCCCTCTCCCCGCCCCTTCCTTCCTGTCCCACTGGGTATTTAACCTCTACCCGTGGGGCTCTACCTCCGAAACCTTGGTAGCCAGAGATGGGGACAGAGCCCGCGGAGCAGGTGGGAGTGGGGGAGGGCAGGGTGGGGACCCAGGCAGCAGGCCTCTGCCAGCCCCTGACCTGTGCGGGCTCCCCCTGAGCTGAGCCGCAGCCCTGGAGCCCCTTGGCATGAGAGGCTGCTTGGGCCTGTGCTGGCGGGAGAGGTGGGGAGGGGTGGAGCTGGGCAGGGAAGGGAGACAAACCCACCCCTCAGGCAGGTTGGAGCCAGGGTCCTGGGTCCAGCCAAGCCTGCACCTGGCCGTCTGCCCAAGAGAGGGCGCTGCAAGGTGAAGAAGGAGCTAAAATTTATTACTACTAAAATTCTTGGTTTATTGGCAGCTAGGTGGTTCAAATCACTGGCACCCATGTTTCAAACATTTCTCGCTGCAAGCCTTGCCACCAGGCCCGGACAGGACTTCGAGGTCCTTATGAGGTTCCGGAAGTCCAGAAAGAGCAGTGGCTTGCTCAAGGTCACCCAGGAAGCTGGCAGTGGAGGCAGCAGGGGGCAAGGGAGGTGTGCTAGGAGTCGGGAGGGTCTCTCCCTGTGTGCTGTTGGCCTGGGTTGTAGGGTTCCCCATGGTAGGGAGGCATGGCTGGGGCAGGCGCAAGAGCATCTCAACCGTGTCCACTTTGCTCTGTCCCTTCTCCAGGTGCCCTGGGGCTCCTACTCCGGGGACGAGGAGGACACGTACTCGGCCGAGCCACTGCCTGAGATCTGCTCCAAAGCCGACGTCCAGGCCTTCAGCCGCGCCTTCCAGCCCAGCGTGTTGCTGATGGTGGCCTTCCTGGGCCTGGCAGGCAACAGCTTGGTCCTGGCCACGCATCTGGCAGCCCGGCACACGGTGCGCTCTCCCACCGCGGCCCACCTGCTGCAGTTGGCCCTGGCCGACCTCCTGCTGGCCCTGACCCTGCCCTTCGCCGCAGCGGGGGTGCTGCAGGGCTGGAGCCTGGGCAGTGCCACCTGCCGTGCCATCTCGGGCCTCCACGCGGCCTCCTCCCACGCTGGCTTCCTGTTCCTGGCCTGCATCAGCGCCGACCGCTACGTGGCCATCGCGCGTGCGCTCCCCGCGGGCCCTCGGCGCTCCGTGTCCCGCCGCGCGCACTGGGCCTCAGCCGCCGTGTGGCTGCTGGCGCTGCTCCTGGCGCTGCCCGCGCTCCTCTTCAGTCAGGACGGGCTGCGCGAGGGCCGGCGGCGCTGTCGCCTTGTCCTCCCCGAGGGCCTGGCGCGGACGGTGAAGGGAACGAGCGCCGTGGCGCAGGTGGCCCTGGGCTTCGCGCTGCCCCTGGGCGTCATGGCCGCCTGCTATGCGCTCCTGGGCCGTACGCTGCTGGCCGCCAGGGGGCCCGAGCGCCGGCGTGCGCTGCGAGTCGTGGTGGCCCTCGTAGCGGCCTTCGTGGTGCTGCAGCTGCCCTACAGCCTCGCTCTGCTGCTGGACACTGCCGACCTCCTGGCCGCCCGAGAACGCAGCTGCCCGGCCAGCAAGAGCAAGGACCTGGCGATGCTGGTGACCGGCGGCCTGGCCCTGGCGCGCTGCGGCCTTAACCCCGTGCTCTACGCCTTCCTGGGTCTGCGCTTCCGCCAGGACCTGCGGGCGCTGCTGCGGAGCGCGGGCTGCGGTACCAGGGCCCACCCCCGCGGGCGCTGTCCCCGTCGGCCGCGCCTGTCCACCTGCTCAGCGGCCACTGACACCCATAGTGTGTCCTGGGACAGCTAGGGCTGCAGGGGGGTGTGGGTGAGCGAGGGCCACGGGAGTGGGTGGGAAGGGAAGTAGAGGGAGGAACACGGGGACAGAGGTAGGGACCAAGGGGTGGCCCTGGGTCTGCCACATTAAAGCGATAAGATGGAAATGAGATGCAACCAGCAGCTGTTACTATTTTTGCACCACCAGCTTGCAAGTGATTTGCAGTGGAGCAGACATTGGGGCTGCACCCCCACGGCCCTGGGGTGGGTGGACGGAGCTGCTGAGTTTGCTAAAGCCCTGGCAGACACCCCCTGAACTCTGACAGCAGGCGCACCCGCAGAGGTGAGGCTGAGGCGGGAAAGCTGCCAGGCCGGGAGGGGCGGGGGCTCCACCCGAAGCAGCAGAGTCAGAAGAGCTCTCTAACAAGCTGGCTGTCCTGGAGGCCTGGCCCGCTGGCACGCGCGCCGCCCCGGGAACTTTGCAGGCGGGACGGTGAGGGGCGGGAGATTTCCTATGGGGGCAGAGGATTCGATCACTGCTGGAGGAGCCCTGCTCAAGTTCTGCGATGGAACAAAACGAGTCATTTAAAAAGTTGAGCTGGAGTCTTGCAACTGGAAGGAAAGCAGAGCGGGAATTGCAGTTTGCAAATGTCCAAAGAGGGTCTGTCCTGGGCTTGCGGAGGAGGCTGGGGGGGGGAGGCTGGCGTCTCCATCCTCCCTGGGGCGGAGGAGAGGCTTAGACATGGGGAAGAGCTTCCCTGCAGGCCGGGGCCTGGGAGCGAGATGGGGAAGAGGGCTCGGGTTTCTGGATCTCCAGCCCCAGGAAATCTCAGCCAGGGGCGCTCTGGGGCGCAGACACCGCCAGGAAGGCCACTAGCGCCGGCGGCTTTGATTCCGAGTCTTTGTTTTGCACAATCACAACAGGCAGTGCTCACGTGTGACAGGCCGTGTAACACGCGGCCAGCCAGGCTGGACCCACGGCCCGCCCGAATCCAGAGGCAAGAAGGGTGTGACGTGGCCAGGGGGTCTGGGGACAGGTGCCCCCCACCCCGCGCGCCTCTCCCCGGCCGGCCGCGAGCCTCTGGCAGCGGAGACCCGAGGCCTCGGCCTACGGGTCCGCGATCGAGGGGCGGGCCGCGGCTGGCGCAGATCTCTGGGGGCCGGGCTGGAGCCCTTGCCGGAGACCGCGGGAATCGCCGCTGAGTCAGCGCCGCGCGCCTCCCGCGGTCGCCCGGCCCCGCCCCGGCCGCCTGGCACCTCGGTTAACTCCATCCTGTCCAGACCCGTAGGATGCTCGCCTGCAGAAAACCACAGAGTTCCCTAGAATGCCGAGCCACTGTCCTTACTCGAGTGCGCTCCCCGTGGGCCCTCGGCGCTCCGTGGGGCTGCGCGGTCCAAACTCGATCCCGGCCAGGCGTGACGGCGCGCGCCCGTCACCCCAGCACGCGCGCGGGGGTGAGTCGGAGACACCTAGCGAGTCCCAAGCCAGCCTGTGCTGTGTAGTGAGACCCCGACTCCAAACATAAATTAAATTGATTTTATTTCAGGCCGAGGCTTGCGCCTTCCGGGAGTCCGTGTCTCAACTTCACCCCAAAGTGAGGTGACTCTGATTTAGGAACCAGACCCCCCAACTCCAGGGGTGCAGGGTCATCCCTAGCACTGGGCGCAGCACGGGTCAGCGGGGTCAGGGGCGCAGCGTCCGGCCTCCCCCCGCCCCACGGCCTTCCGGGAGGGATTTCGCCTGCAGTCGGGGCGCCTAGAGTTAAACCCAATCGCGAAGGCGGGCTCCTGTGACGTGACCGGCACCCCGGGCCCGACCTCGGGGACGGGGCGTGGCCAGCAGCGCCCCGCCCCGCCCCTCCCCGCTGTCACCGGGCCAGGAGCACATGATGCAACCCGCGCCGCTTCCTGCCGGTGATTGGCGGCCGAGCCCGGCGCCAGGCACGGGGATTGGGCGCAGGGGACGGTGACGACACGTGGATCCTGCCCCGGACTGAAGGGAGGAGAGAAAGGAGAGGCGGGGGGCCGCGGGAGGGGTCCGGAGGCGGGGTCCCCAGCTGCGCCCGCGCCCCCAACGCGCCAGTCCGGGGCTGCCGGGAGCGCAGCGCGCGCCGCCCGGGCCCCGGCACTGCTCGCCCTCCGGACCCGACCCTTCCGGAGCAGGGACCGCGGCCACCGCGCCGGACGCGCCCCCCGCCGCGCGGGACGCCACAGCGGACGAGACTTCCCCGCGCCGGACATCGCTCCCCACTCCCCCGGCCGGGCCTGGACGTCGTGCCCTCCTCCTCCAGGGGCCCCCAGTGTCGCCCCCTGCACCCCCGAGGGGGTCCCTGACACCCAGCACTGGACGTCGCCCCCCCCCGCCCCCCCGCGCGCCAAGCCCCACAGGCTCCGCGACCCCGGCCCGCGCGCCCGATGCCTCTCCCCGGGGGGCTGTGGTGGCGGCTCCTCTGCTGCCATCGGGGCTTCACCCTGCTGCACCGGGACTACGGCGACGGCGAGCTCAGCGGGGACGGGGACGGGGACGAGGACGAGACCTTCGAGCTGCGGACCCCGAGTCCGGTGGGCGGCGGGCGGGTGAGTGCCGGGGACCCGGAGCCTTGGCTCCATCTCCGCGCCCGACCCTGCCGCGACTCCGGCCAGGCGCGGGGACAAGGGGCGACGGAGGCGTGGAGCACCCCACTCGCGAGGTGCCCGTGGGATGGGCCTTGTCTTGCCCTGGGCGCTGTCCACCTGCTGGGGGCCCCCGAGGCAGGGAGGCGTCGCGCGTGGCCCAACCTGGCCCTGCCTCTCCCTTCCCCGCCGGCCCGCGTCCCATCCCGTCTTCTTCCGCCTCCGCCAGCGCCAAGGAATGTGGCGAGGCCGGCTGGGCAGCTCGATCGCCTGGGTCCTCTGCACTCCCCCTTGGTGAGCCTGGGGCCAGATGCGAGAGCTCCCACAGCCGAGACCTAGGCCAGGGTGGATGGCCTCCGAGGCCTGGGGTCCGAATCGGGGACCCCAGAGTGGGAGCTGGGGGCTGTGGTGTCCTGTCGCTAGGGATGGAATCCTCAGCATTCGATGGTGAGGCTCCCAGAAAATCCCCGACTGGATGGGAAGGGACGCTTGGTCGCTGGGTCGTGACAAATGTCCCCGTGGGGAAACTGAGGCACGCTGGCACATTCATCCCACGGTGTGCCTACTCCCGCGGCTGCTCCCGTGGCAACCAGAGTGCGGTGACCTGCGGCCTGGGCCAGGCTCCCCTCCCCCATCAGGGGTCCCCAGCAGGCCTGGTGGCTCTGTGCCCGGGTGGGGCGGCCGCCAGCACCTGGCGAGGCCAAGGGCAGATAAATATAGAGGGAGGAGGGGGGAAGAGGGGACTGAGACAGGGGAGCCAGGCGAGAGACTGGGCAGACCGGCCCTGGTGGTGTGGGGCACAGAGTACCCCGACTTCCAGAAGCCAGGGACGAAGCTCTGCAGGAGGGCGCAGCACAGGGCCTCCCCAGCTCCCGGCCTGGCCCGGCCCGCCCGGCAGGGTCTGCTGTCAGTGTCAGCCCAACCGTGCCTTGGCCTGCCTCGTGCTCCACCTCCACTCCTCCGCCCTGGAGCAGGGGACAGGTGCCCTGGGCCCCCTCCTGCTCCCCTCCTGGATTTCGCAGTCTGGGTGCAGTGGGACCGTGGCAGGCACAGTTCCTGCCTGGCTCGCTCTAGTGGCCTTGGAGGCCTCTCAGACCCCAGTCTGCAGCTGAAGTGGGGGGGTGGCGAGGGTGTGAAGCGAAGGCCCAAATCCCCAACCACACCTGGCCTGCGTGCTGCATGCGTGTGCTGCTCCTCAGCCTGGCCGAGCCAGGGCAGGGTCCCCGCTCACCCCGAGTCGAGTCTCAGGGCTGGGTGTCCCAGGGTGAAGAAAAGCCTGTGGCCCTGCGAGGGGACGGGAGCAGCCTCCAGAGACGGAGGGACTTTGCCCACCTCTTCCAGTTCAAAGATGGGGGCCTCGGGCCGGAGACGGGATGTGTGCACCTTCCTAGCTGGAGTTCGTGGTCCAGGGAGTCTGGGGACTAAAGTGGCCTAACTCCCCACCCAGTGCTCCTCCCACCCTACCTGGCCCCGACTGTGTCTCCAAAGGAGCCCAGGCAGGAGCTTCGGAGGCCGGAGGCCGTGTGTGGTGCCCGCGACGCCCTCTCTCCACCCCGCTCCTCCACTCCTTCCTCAGTCCCAGAGCAGCGCCGGCCGTCCACAGGGATCGTGCAGCGTAGCCGTGCCTCTGAGCGTCCCTGCCTCTCTCCCCAGGGTGCCCTGGAGGTGACGCTGACCCAGCCCGGGAGGAGCGGGCCGGTCTCTGACAGGTGAGCTTGGCCTCTGCGAGCCTGGTGGTCGGCAGACTCTCAGGACCCCGGCCCTGCCGCCTCCCCTGTGGGTTGTGCAATAAGGGAGAGGCCCTGGCGGAGGCGAGGCGCGCCGGACGCTGCGGGTTGGCTGGGGTCCCGGGGGCGGTCCCGCCGAGGGCTCGGGGAGGAAGGGGGGTCCTGGCTATTTCTGGTGCAAGGTCAGCGCGGCCCCACGGTTCCCACAGTCCGGAGGAGGGGTGTCCCGCTGGGGAGCAGCCCCCGCCGTCTGGGGAGCCCCTCCTGAGCAGCCCCTGGAGGCCGGGCAGGGGCGAGCAGCCTGCTTCCTCCGGCTCTGCTTCCTCCCGCCAGGCTGCAGAGCTGGGAGGAGACGCGGAGCCTCATCAGGGACAAGGGGCTGCGGGAGGACGACCCCGACGTGGTTGTGAAAGGTGCGCCCCCATCCCGATGCCCGCTAGGGGCCCGTGTCCTGCGCGACGATGGGCTTACTCCGCGCCGTGCCGCCCCCAGGCTGGCTGTACCGAGAGCCCCGCGCAGGAGGGGCGCGGCCGTGGCTGCCCCCGCGCCGAGCCTGGTTCGTGCTCACGCGCGACTCCCTGGACCAGTTCAGTGGCAGCGGGAAGGGCGCGCGGCGCCTCGGCAGCCTGGTGCTCACCAGCCTGTGCTCCGTGACCGGCCCTGAACGCAAGCCCAAGGAGACCGGTGAGACCCGAGGGCCTCCCCCTGCCCGGCGGGGGCCCGGACAGCCCTGATAGCCCCTCCGCCTCCCCCCCATCAGGTCTATGGTCGGTGACCGTGTCCGGCCGGAAACACAACGTCCGCCTGTGCTCCCCGCGCCAGGCTGAGGCGGAGCGCTGGGGGGTGGCCTTGCGGGAAGTGATCTCCTCCAAGGTACCCCTGGAGACGCCTACCCAGCTCCTGCTCAGGGACATCCAGGTGAGGGGTGGACCGGGCAGTGGGTGGCGGGAGGTGGAAGCTTCCTGGGCTTTCTCATCCCCTCCCTCTTCCCGGCCTCTAGGAGAGTTGTGCGGACCCCGAGGCAGTGGCCCTCATCTACCGGCGGAACCCCATTCTGCGGCACACCAGTGGCGCCCTGTATGCCCCGCTCCTGCCCCTGCCCTACGGAGGGGGCGCCCCAGGTGAGGGGCTCAGGCCCAGGTCCCGGCATCCTTGGGGATGGTAAGAATCCAGCCTCGGTGCCAGGGCCTGTACACCCCCCCAGCACCTCTCTTTCCAGGCTAGAGGCTGCCAGGGAGGAGGAATGCGGGAATGGAAATCTGAACAGAAAGAGACCCCGTGAGCCCTTCTCTAAGGGGCTCATCCTGACTGCTGATGTCCTTCGAGCTTTTACACTCTTCTTCTTTCACTACACTCCATTGTTGGTGGTGGTGGTGGTGCACTGGGGCTTGAACCCAGAGATGCTATACACTGAGCTCTGACCCCCCTGGTATGTTGGGACAGGGTCTCCTAAGTCGCCCAGGTTAGGCTCAGACTTGCAGTCCTCCTGCCTCGCGGCTCCCCAGAGTGCTGGGGTTCCTGGCGTGCACCCCACACCTGGCCGTTTCTCATGGCACTCAAGGCCACACCATCCCCCCTTCACAGGTGTGGGAAAGACTCCACTCTGACTTTGGGGAGAACCGCTAGCTTCTTCCAGCTACACTTCTCCCCAAAGGGGCAGAGTGGCTGGCCAGGGCCTAAAGCCAGAGGATGAAGAGGGGCTGGGGGCTGAACTCGGTTTTCTGACTCCCAGACCAGCCTGTTATCTGGCCGGCGGTGACAGCTCTGGATCTGGGCCTTGAACCTGGGCCCTTCTTTCTTCTCTGTGCCAGGGTCCTGGCTCAGCAGGAGAAGGAGGGGCTCCCTGGCTGGAGTCTGGCTCTGTGGGACCATTGCTTTCCCTCCACTCTCCCTGCCCTTCGCCCCTCCATCCTTCCCACCACATCCCTTTCTACTCCCTGTGACCTGCCCCTGGGCCGTGCCGTGGTTTCCCACCAGGGCACAGCTCTGTGCCCCCTCTCCAAACCATCCCTCCTCCCCCACCGTCCCATAGGTCCGGGCTACGCACCCCTGCGAGAGGAGGCGGTGAGGCTGTTCCTGGCGCTGCAGGCGCTGGAGGGGGCACGGTGGCCCGGGCCCCTGATGCAGGGCGTGCTGCAAACCTGCCAGGACCTGCCCGCGCTCCAGGACGAGCTTTTCCTGCAGCTGGCTAAGCAGACCTCAGGCCCTGCGGGTCCTCCAGGGCTCCCTGCTACGCAGGACCCCGCCGCCCTGCGGTACTGGCAGCTCCTCACCTGCATGAGCTGTACCTTCAGGCCTGGGGGCGCAGTCCGGGGTCACCTCCTGGGGCACTTGGAGAGGTGAGAAGAGCAGGTGCAGGGCTAAGGAAAGCAGCCGCAGGGTGGGGAGGGGACAGCATGGTGGGGGCTTGCCTGGTCAGGGCCGGTGTGAACAGACCCAGCTCCGGGGTGGGAACTACAAAATCGTGTCCCATTGTGAGCAGACAAATTAAGATAACGCACCCTGGGCGGGCGGAGGGGTTGTCAAAGGCTACTTCTCGGGGATGTGGGCCAGCCCAGGGCTCAGGAAACTATAGGCAGGCGGCTGGATTTGGGATTTGGAAAGCGATCCACAGACTCTGATGTGGGCCAGGGCAGTGGGAGAGCGCCGCCCCCAGACTTGGAAAGTAATTCAGCTCCGCGCAGATTCAAGCCACCTTCTAGGGACTGAGTTGAAGGGGAGGAGACTGACCCAAGAAGGCCACAGGGGAAGGACTGATCCGTGGACTTCTCCCCACCCAGGACAGAGCGGGCGCTCCCCGACTCGGAGCTGGCAGAATACGCGCGCTTCATCCGCAGGGCGCTGGGCCGCACGCGCTGCCGAGAGCTGGTGCCGTCGCTGGCGGAGATCGCTGCGCTGAGCCGGCGGCAGGAGCTGCAGTGCACCGTGCACTGTCCCGGCGCCGGGGCCTGCCCGGTGGCCATCGACTCCTACACGACCGCGGGCGAGGTGAGGCCGGCAGCCCATTCCCCAGGGGTCCTCCCAGCATCTCAGGCCTGTCTCCCCAGGGCCTGGTTTGCCCCGTCCTAGATTTTGTTTTGAACCTGGAGGGAGCGGCGGTGAGGGATCTGATGGTCCCTGTCCCTTGCGCTCCTGCAGGTGGCTCGGGAGCTGGTGGGGCGGCTGGGTTTGGCGCGGAGCCGCAACGCATTCGCGCTGTACGAGCAGCGCGGGGCCCAGGAGCGCGCACTGGCCGGGGGCACCGTCGTGGCCGACGTGCTCACCAGGTTTGAGAAGTAAATGTCCAGCCCGGCCCTCGCCCTCCCTGCTCCCAGAGGTCCCCAAGCTTCCCAGCCGGGCGCGGCGCTGCCACGTGCGCTGCCACGTGCTCTTGTCCCGGCCGCGCCCCGTCGCTCCGCCCCTCTCCCTGCTCCTCAGGCCTCACGGTCCTTTCCTCCCGCAGCCTGGCGGCCCAGGAAGCCGGGCCCGAGGACTCAGCGGACCCGGGGTGGAGGCTGTGCCTGCGCCTTCAAGGGCCTCTGCATCCCGAGGGCCTGTCCCCCGACGGCCCCCAGCTGCCGTTCCTCTTTGAGCAGGTGAGGCTCGGGGCATCCGTGCCTACACACAGACGCCCCCAAACGTGACCCCGCTGTTTGTTCATCGCTGCAGCCCGGGCCCCTCCGCCTCGCTGACGCGGTCCTCCTTGCAGGCTCACGCTCTGCTGCTGCACGCCCGGCCCGCCCCGCCCGCCCCGCCGCGGCCTGCGCCCTCCGCCGCCCTGCTGGCCGGGGCCGCCCGGAGCCCCTGCCTGGCCGCGAGGCACGCGGAGCGGGGGCCACGGCGGGGCGCGGCGGGGAGCGCGGAGCCAGGCCGGGGAGGCGCACGCCCAGCGGCCGCGGTGCTGGGCGGCTGGAAGCGGCTGCGGGGCCTGGGCCGGGCCGAGGCCATGGCTGCCTACCTGGCGCTGGCGGCGCAGTGTCCAGGGCTCGGCGCTGCTCGGTATGACGTTCTGGAGCTGAGCACGGTGAGGGGTAGAAGGGAGAAGGGGACTCTGGCGGCCCGAGCCCCACACCTCCACCCCCACCTCCAGCACGGCTGCCCCTCCGCCCAGGGGACCCAGCCTCAGCCCGGGTTCTGCACTGTGCCCCGCCCACCCGCCACAGCCACCCCCTGCTGCAAAGCGAACCAGGGGCCCTGCCACCGACCCTGCCCTGCCCCCGCAGGAGCCTGGCCGAGGCGCTCCACAGAAGCTGTGCCTGGGCCTGGGAGCCAAGGCCCTGTCCCTCTCCCGGCCTGGGGACCCGGAACCTATCCACAGCGTCAGCTATGGCCACGTGGCCGCCTGCCAGCTGATGGGCCCTCACACCTTGGCGCTGAGAGTCGGGGACAGCCAGCTCTTCCTGCAGAGCCCACAGGTGAGGGGCGCGTGGATCGCATGGACCCTGGGTACAGTTGGAGGCTCTGGGACCCAGCAGTGACCAAGCACAGGAGATGGGGAGCCAGCAGTAAACAAGGACCCAAAGACTACTCGAAGATAGAAGCCAGGTGTGGCAGGGCAAGCCGATGACCCGAGCACTTGGGAGACCGAGGCAGGAAGAGCAACTTCAAGGCCACCCTAGAACACGTAGTGAGACCCTGACTCCCAGAAAGAGAAAGACTGTTGAGGAAGTGGCTGGAGTGGCCCCTTAGTCAGGAAGGATCCCCAAAGGGACATTGAGCTAGCCTGAGGAAGAGCTGGGGGAACTGCATTCCAGGCAGAGGGAATTTCGAGTGCAGAGGCCAGGACTGAAGAGAAACTTGGCATGGTGGAGAAGCAGGAAGAAGCAGGAAAGATCCCTGTACAAGTTTATAATCCCTTCACTCAGGAGGCTGAGGCCGGAGGATCCCGAGTTGAAAAGAGACCATGTCTGAAAAAGCTAGAAAGGCTGGCACACAGCAGGCGAGGAGAGAGTGTTGAGGATACAGAGGTAGAGCAGCTGCAACTCCAGGCCTGGACAGTGTAGGAGAAAAGAGCGGCCTGACCCCTGTCCCTTCCTAGGTGGAAGAGATCATGCAGCTGGTGAATGCCTGCCTGGCCCCGTCCCCGGAGAGGCCTCCCTGCCAAGACCAGCCAGATGCCCCCCCTCCCAGCCTGGACGAGCCCCACGGACAGTCTGGATGCTTGGGGCAGCTGCAGGACTGAGCCTGCCAAAAGGTCACGGCTTCCGTGCCGCCTCCGGCCCGGGGCCAGAGCTGCCCTGGAATCTGAGGGGACACAGACCCTTCCGGCCCTGCAGGGACAGGGCCCACCCACACCCAAGGACTGAGATGGTGTGGGCAATTTTCTAGTTTGTTTCTTAATTTATTTGTAGAACAGAAGCAAAAAAAAAAAAATTCCTTATTTACACAAACCCTTCCTGTGGGAGTGTTGTGGGGGACGAGTTGGGCTCCGCCCCAGGACACCCACACTGGGGGCCTTCCAGGGGTGCAGGGGGAGTGGACACTGCAGAGCTCCATCCTGCTCGCCAGTCTGCAGCCACCGCCCTCGCCCTGGGGGTGGGTGTTGCAGCAGGCCCCCGAACACACACAGGAGGCAGGAGCTGCAATTACCCAGCCTCTGCCCTGGGAGCAAGTGTCGGAGGGGTGGCCTCCCCGTGTCCCTGAGTCATCAAGGCTGGCACTGCCAGGCCCTGCTTCCGGGCTGTGTGGGTCCATCTTTGCTGCGGCCACTGCTTAGGGTGTGACATGGCAGGCGCTAGGGCTGGAGAGATGCAAGAACTTCCGGGAAAAGGAAGTGGAAATTCGCTCAGCCACTCTCAGGCCGGGTCCCCTCAGCTCTGACAGCTCTGGGTCCTGGAACCCAGACCCAGCTCGTCGGGCCACTCAGGCAGTGACCCTGCTTCTGTGGATGCCGCTTCCTCAGCCCCAAGTGGAAGGGCTTGATAACACTGTCCACCCTGGGCTGGAGCTGAGCAGGAGACACTGCGTCTGGATACCCCAGAATCCAGAGAGAGGGGCTCACTGTGCTGAATCAAGACTGGCTCAGGTTAGGAGATCCCTGGGCAGTTGCAGGCAGAGTAAGACCTAGACTACATGGTAAAAAGCACAGCCACTCTACCATCACAACCATCATCCCAGATTCAAGGATAAATCTCAGCCAGGCATGGTGGTGCATGCATCATCCCAGCACTTGGGAGGCTGAGGCAGGAGGATCGTCCAAAATTCAAGGTCAGCCTGGCTATATAGTGAGACCCTGTCTCAAAAAAAAACCCCAAAATCAAGCCTGACTATATTCATCACCGAGCTTTATTACTTTATTAGAACAGAACAAGCACATCAAGGGCTGGGAATGGAAACCAGGAGGTGGGTCCAGTCCTGGGCTGCAGACAGAGGGGGAAGTGGGCTGGAAGGCAGAGCTGGGGACCCATGGGCGTGGGGTGGGGCTCACTGCTCCTGGGTGCCCCAGGAGATGTAGTCGGGTCGCGTGGCCGCGTGGTACTCATCGATGAGCTGCTGCACTACCTCCCGGGACCGCTCCATCTCGTCCAAGCTGTCCTTGAAGATGTCCTCCTTGCGGAACTGCTCCAGGAAGGCCCCCCGCTTCCACAGCTTGTCATACTGCTGGCAGGAACTTTCAAAGAGCTGGAAGAACCTGGGCATTAGACCTTGGCTGGAAGCCATGAGGCTGACGGTGGGATGTGAGCGGGAGGACAGACCCAGCCCCGCTCACCGAGGAGATGCTGGTGTGGTTGGCCATCATGAGCCCGCTGACCCGGTGGGCGGATGGCAGGTATGGGGACTTCCTGGACAGTGCCACCTGGATGCTGGCCGGGCCCCAGGGGATGAAGCTGGCCAGCTTCCGCTCCCGGATCCTCTGTAGGCTCTTGTGCATCTGGGCGGGCACAGGGCTCGGTGGCCGCCTCTCCTCTGCCCAGGGCACGGGCCAGGAGGGGCGGAGGGCTGGCACCTACCTGGGTGGGGTCCACCTCGCCCTGGATGATGTTGAGGATGGCGATGTAGCAGTGGTTGGTCTGGCGGTCCCGGCCCGTGGACACCATCACGTTCTTGGGCTGTAGCAGCCGTCGCATCACGTCCAGGACCGTGGTCTTCCTCACACTGGCCACCTGAGGCCGGGGCAGGTACTCAGGGCACCGCGGGGACGCGTGGCAGAGGCCCAACCCCAAGAGCCCGGCACAGGGCGGCCTGGAGAGCCCCCTGGGGTCCCCTCTGCCCTGGGTCGGGGCCTCAACCCCGGCCGGAGGCTCGGCCTGGCGCGGGAGCAGCCCGGAGGCAGAGGGGGCGCCCAGCTGGCCGCTCACCGACTGGTCCGTGGTGAGCGGGGTGTAGCCGGTCATGAGGAAGTGCAGGCGCGGCGTGGGGATGAGCGAGGCGATGAGCCCGATGAGGTCGTTGTTCATGTAGCCGGGGTAGCGCAGGGTGGTGGTGCTGGCCGACATGATGGTGGACACCTGTGGCGGGGTGCGGCGTCACGGCCGGTCTGCGGGGCCCGGCTCCCTGGGGGCCCCGGTGGCGCGGCACGGGGGGCTCCCGGTCCGGTCCAGGGGCCGAGGAGCCTGCTCACCAGCTGGTTGATCTGGGAGAAGGACGGGTTCTGGATGTGCAGGCGGTCCGTGGCGATCCGGTTGAGGGCCGTGTTGTCCAGCACCACCTGGGGGCGAGGAGACCGCAGCCCTTCTCAGAGCAGGATGGCCCAGAAGAGAAGCTTCGCCTTCGCCTCCACTGCCGCCCAGACCGGAAGTGGGCCAGTTACTTAAAAGGAAAGGATGGCTTTGGGCAGCAGCACTCATTTTGGCCCATGGGACAGTAAGCAAGCCTGTGAGTGCCCCAGTGTGCCACACAGTGCCTGGCCTGTCCACTCCACCTACAGCACAGCGCAGGGACACAGCCGTTAAATACAGAACAGGCTGGGGCGGCCCAGACCTGGCTTCAATCCCCAGCACTAGAACCAGTCAGTGAGAAGTGGCTATCTCGCTGGGTGTAATGGCACACACCTGTAGTCCCTGCCCTCAGGAGGCTGAGGCGGGAGGATCACCTGGAGTGCAAGGCCAACCCAGGCTACTTAGTTCAAGGCCTGCCTAAACTGTATTACAGGACCCTGTCTCAAAAAAGGTATCGCGAACAACCTGAAATATGCAGTCTGATGTTAACTGGGAAGCTCTGCTAAGGCAGCGACCCCGATCTGAGAGTTCACATAGGGTGAGCACAGTTCACACAGAGCGGGGGCGAGGGATGGCAGGGCATATTCGCTCTGTTGGGTCCTGGTGCCCCTAGGGAGAGGGAGCCGCATGGAGGTCAGGGCCTATTTCATGACCCGGCCCACTCAGGGCTCTGTGGGGCTCGGTTCTCCGGGGTCCGGGACTGGAAAGTGAGAGCAGCAGGGAGAGCCTCCTCCTCCGGCCTCACCACGCAGTCCGCGTTCTGGGTCAGCCGCTTGAGCGTGAGCAGGGAGTTGTAGGGCTGCACCACCACGTCGCTCATCTCGTCCTGGCTGGGGAACACCGAGTACGTCTGCACCAGCTTCTTGGGGTACCTGGGGGTGAGGAAGAGGAAAGGGGAGCGGCGCATAGTGATCAGGACAGACCCCCAGGTCCTCCTGAAGTGCCCCTGAGCTCTGTACACCTGGGGTGGGACAGAGGGGCAGGGACAATCACAGCACCCGGGCCCCTCCCTCGGCCACCTCCACAGTCCCGCTCCTGCTCCCACTGCGTGTGTCCTCAAACACAGCTCACCTGTCATTCAGCCGCTCCAGGAGGTAGGAGCCCAGGCCAGAGCCTGTGCCCCCCGCGATCGAGTGGCACAGCACGAAGCCCTGTGTGGGGACAGGCGCAGAGACAGTGGCCAGGAGCCGGGAGCCTCAGGGTGTCCCTCCCCACCACACACCCCCCTGACAGCTCAAGCTTCCTGTGTCCACCCAGGCCAGAGGCTCCTGGGCTGGTTCAGAGCCAGGCAGAGGGTGAATAACTCACGACTGGTTATGACCTCCGTGAGGAGAGGCACCCTCCCCACCTGCATACCCCAGATGGTGCTCAGTATCCCACACTAACCGACTGAATGACTTTTCCAAACTCAGGACTGAGTCTGGGGCCTTTGTTCTGAGCTACACCTCCAGGCCTTTTTAAATTTTTTATTTTGAGACAAGGTCTCATCTCACTAAGTTGATAAGTAGTCAAACCTGGGCTCAAACTTGCACTTTTCCAGCCTCAGCCTCCCAGAGTGATAGGATTACAACCCTGCACCACCACAACCCGCCCGCCTGCCTGCCTGCCTATTTTGTAGCACAGGATTAAACCCAGGGCCTTTGCACTGAGCTATCTCTTCAGGGCTTTTAACAATATTTTGGGGGGGGGGCTGGGGATTTAGCTCAGTGGTTTCGCCACCTGCTGTGCAAGTGCAAGGACCCGAGTTCAATCCCCGGTACAAAAAAAAAAAATTTTTTTTGAATTAGGGCCAGGGATTTAGCTCAGTGGTTGCGCTGCCTGCCTAGAAAGCACAAGGTCCCGCGTTTGATCACCGGTACAAAAAAAAAAATTTTTTTTAAATTCTGGGAGCGGGTCTTGCTAAGTCATTGCCCAGGCTGGACTTAAACTTGCAATCCTCCTGCCTCAGCTTCCCAGAGTGCTAGGGTCACAGGCCTGTGCCATCGCAGATTCAGGCCACCATCCCTCTTGAGCCTCTTCCCGGACACCCCAGGAGAGGAGAACCTCACCTCCAGACTGTCGCTCCCGTCTGCCTCTCGGTCTATGATGTCAAAGATGTCCTCATGGATCTTCTCCCCCTGTATGGAGACAGGGAAGAGAGGGTAAGGCAGAAGACTCTCTCTTCGGCTCCACCCTGGGGCTCTGTTGCCTCTGAAGTGACCTAGGTGCAGCCGGCAATTTAGAAATGGTTCGTGCACGGCCTGCACTGCGTCTGCCTGGACCCCCCAGGCGTCCCTCTGCTCAGGGTTTCCCCTGGTCTTATTCACTGTCCCTGTGGTCTGGCCAAGTTCCCGGATGGCCGGAGCCGCCCTGCCCGGGGGCGGAGGGGCCACACCTGGGAGAAGCCCCGCGCCCAGTTGTTGCCGGCGCCGCCCCCGTGCTCCGACAGGTAGATGTTCTCGGGGTTGTAGAGCTTGGCGTAGGCAGAGTTGAGGATGGAGTGGATCACGCGGGGCTCTAGATCCAGCAGCACGGCCCGGGGGATGTAGTGCTCGTCGTCCGCCTGCCCGGGGAGGCCGGGGGGGGCGGGTCACTGAGGGCGGCCGGACCCCGACCCCGCAGCCCTCACCTCAGCCCGCGCCCGGCCCCGTCGCCGGCACCTGGTAGAAGAAGACATCCTTGCGGTCGGTGCCCTCGGTGGCGAACTCCTCCACGATGCCCTCGGGACTGATGCCATGCTCGGCGCACAGCTG